AAAATTCGGAAAACCGTACACGTTTGCGTATGCAACAGTATTTTGACGGCCTATTGTATATTATAGTRAACTAGAATCGCAATTCTAAGAGATGGTGTGTGCGATAGTGACACGGTTATTCTGGAGGCTACAAAGAAATTTAATGCAAAATAATAACTAATACGTCGTCAGTCAAAATCGTGTAGGTGCCTATAAGAATAGCCAAATTCCATGTATTTTTTATATTTAGGGTAAATTCAAATAGGAAAATCAATCCATAATTTGAAATATTAAATAACAGTCGATTAAATACCTCCGAGTCTTCTGCGATGAAACACTAACCTGGAACATACACATAAATAAAATAATAGACCTATACAACAATGAAATTATTATAGCCCCTGCAAATAAACTATAGCTCAATGCTACAAATTAATTAATGCTCACTACTACTATATACATCAATAATAAGACCAATCTTATCATACGCATGTTCAGTGTGGTCCCACTGGTCCACCACATCTCAAATAAAAATCTACAGTCAAAAGGATATACAGTTCTTAGAATAGTTCTATAAGCCCTTTGGTTCATGCGCGACAAGCAACTGCCTAAACCTAACCGTTTTTAGACATTTGGATCAATGCACAATTAAAAAAAWAATAATTTATGACTCAACTCATATGAACGAGATCTCCAGTACAAAATTGAGCAAAAATCGAAAAAACCATTAGATATATCACCCCTTTCATCGTCRTCCAAATAATTTTGTAATTTTACATATTCATCATATTTATCAGATTTGATAATCACAACGATTTTGCATTTTTTCTGCATAGGTGATATGTTTAATGTTAATGTTGTAACAATTAAATGAACAAAATAGATAATAATAATGTTTAGGTAGGTAACATTAAAACGTGATCCTAATTTTATAGTGGACCGTGGTATTTTTTTATATATATATTTATATTCACAAGGTATTAAGACGAGAAAACTCTGCAGGTCACCCCATACACACACCCAATTGCCGTAGCGAGATAATATTAAAGGAAACGCTTTCGTGGTAACGGCCTCGAGACTAAGTCGAGGGGTGATTTACAAGGATTGCGTAGATGCGTTACATAAAGTCCGTTTTGCCGGTCAATAAAAAAAAAAACAAAATCGACAACATTGTCTAACAACCTAACCGTATATCTGCGGTGTGTACTTTGTGCTCATCACGGTGAATGTGATCGGAAGCGTAAGTCAATGGAACAGGCAAGGGCGTCCATCTTTGGAAATACAGGGAGGAAACACTAAATATTTGCAATAATATTGACCATTATGTTAACCTGTTAACTGCTATATGTAAGTTTACGTAGAACAATATTTTATGACTGTATAATATATATACAATAGTATTTATTAATTTATCATAACTATATAATTATTTATTAAATAAATAGACTTGGTAGTTCAATTTTTAATAAAATATAAAATATACAACATAAATAGTTCACTTTATATTATTTAATTCTATAACTGTCAATAACTTAACTTAATACAATAACTTACTATACTAGAATAAATACTTAAAAAATAGTATCGATGAACATTAAAACAAAAACTGTAAATTCCTTTTGTTTTTTGAAAATTCGTCCACTACACCTTGAATTAAATTTAAATCATCAATTTTCTGTCCATGTATACTAAATATACATAGACCAGATAGTCGCTGCTCCGTCATAGTAGACCTTAAACACGTTTTTACACGGCGAAGCGTACTTATTTTTCTTATACTAAGATCCGTGTCTATATAAATAATAATAATATATATAATAGTATAATAATTATATACACCGACACCGAAAAGCCAGGGGAGTGACATGTCTCCCCCCTTGCCCTCCCCAATAGACGCCCTTGGGAACAGAAGTATTGTATAGGCAATTATTCTAGCATATTATTTTTCCATTGATATATCGAGTGCTTAAACGAAACGGAGATCAGTGTGACCTAGTTATTATCGGTCTATACTGGTTTTGATACCTAAACACTAAAAAAAAATAATACTGTAATACTAAAAACTATGATTTCACTTTTAAAATCACAATTGTACTCTTTAGTCTTTGAAAAACATTTCCAACAAAGAGATAAAATATATGTGAACAATTTGGATGTAACTGCTATGYCAATTGTATTCACTAAAAACATCTCCCGACACATAAATGTACTCGTAAAAGTATGAAACAATTTTTAAAATCGACTCAACTAAATTTGATTGATTTATTCGATAAAAAAAAAAGATAAGCATATTTTATGTTCACATCTTTAACAAACAGAGCTCCTAATTAGAGAGCCACAATAATTATTTTCTACTGCATTATCTCAATGTCCATAACGGACCGTAATAAATCTGAGATTTTTCAGATTTTATCAGTTAGTTTAAAATGGTTTAGGCCAGTATGACTTAAAAAAAGTTGAATATTGTTTGTAGTACTCGTAACAATAATAATAATTCGGCGCTTCCAAACAGGGTCATGGTACAGTTTTCAAGTTCAAGTGAGAGACAGCTTGTGGGTGTAAGTAATGTGTAGTAAATATTATCACAGGCGGACAGGTATGACAAACACAACGATACACCCTGTATACAGCATAGTTAGGTGTGTGTAGGTACGCGTATTCGCAAGTGTTTTTTTTTTTTTGTTATCCTCTTGTACGAAAAAAAAACTAAACAAAAACAAAAACAGGTTTCGGTTTTGCTCCACACATACACACTACCAATATAAATTATATTCATTTTAATAAGCGAATTTATTGTGT